GATATAAAATATAATAATATAAGATAATACTATTAAAGAATAATATTATGAGAAATACTGATTATTAATTTTTACTTTTAAAAGGATACAGGATACACACCACCTTCTGTTCAACGCGCTCTAGCACTTGTATGAAACCGTGTCTCCAATTTTTGATAAGTTGCCTTGTTCTATGGTTTTCATTTCGATAAATTCCGGCAGACCTGGAACTGCGTGTATACGGAAATTCGTATAGCTCGAGTTGGTATAATAACAATCATTCATTACTCAAAATTAAGATGCCCCCTTTATTCAGCTTTTAGAAAATATATGATTTTTTGCCAGTGTTTAAAGTATTATTTTTCGTGCTAGAGCGCGTTGAACAGAAAATGGTTGCAGTGTTTGGAGAACATTATTGAATCCAAACTATAAAAGTTGCAAAAGTGATTAAAACTAACCTATCATAATTAGCTATAGGCCCGTGACCCCAAGTTAATTCTCAGGATTTCCTTATTAATTGTATAGAGAAATAGCATCTTTTACTCGTTTCTGGACTTCGGTTCTCATGCAAAATCCTAGTTCCACTAGTCCGTTAAGTCCCAACAAGACACTAACGAGGACGTCCTCTCATTTATTTTATGATCACTTCACTGTATAATTGATTTTAGACTTGACTGCATATGTTGTGTTATCATGGAACTCATGCAGTATTCTTTGGAATTCAATTTTTGTCATGTCATTTTCTCTGTTTTCTCCCAAGGGAATCCAAGATGCAAGGACGGTTATTATCCACCTCGATGTAACGAAACAAATCTGGGAACAACTACTGTAGAACCTACTAAACAATTGGGAGCCACACCTACAAAAGCTACACAATTGGGAGCGACAGTCACTCACAAAACACGGACAACAATATCTACGCCAAATAATAAAAGTGAGTCTTTCTGTTAAGTTTGATTGTTATTTTGTATATTTGTATGTTAGTTTGTTGGTTTGTTTGTCTTGCTTGTTTATTTGAATGTTTGATTGATTGATTTTTAGTTAGTTTATTTGTTGTTTTCTTTGTTTGTATATTTGTTTCAGTAAATTGGTTCGCTTAAACGAATTCTTTTTATTGGTAATCAAAACACTTGTACACTGGCAGTTGGTTTTGGCTAGATTACTTAGATTCTTGACAAATTAGGACCAAAATGGAAGAGGGCTCAAGTCCTAATGTTTGATAGTTCAGCCAAGAGTTGTACTTTATTTTTCAGGAAACTTGGCTGGTTCGTCGATACCCACGTATGAATACATGACAAATAGTATCAAGAATAGGTCAAAGCCATTTCCAATCCTCACACTTGTGGTAGTTGTTGTGGGAATTCTATTGGCTAGTTTTACTTGCTTGTTTCTTGTTACATGCTTTTGGAAAAGGAAAACAGGTATAATCAGTATTTCTGGTTTCAAATAGTTTTTTGTCTGTTTGTTTGTTTGTTTATTTATTTGTTTACTATTTGTTTGTTTGTTCTTTCTTCTTCTTTGGTTTTTGGTTATTATAGTTATATTATTATAAATTCCAGAAACCTCTGAACTTGAAGGAGTTAATCGGTAAGTACAATAGTACAGTATGAACTAATTATTAGCTTTGAGGTTGTTTTGCTTCCATGAATGGCAATTCTGCAGTTCAACTATTATTAAATAGTTGTGTATGTCTTAATCGTAATACATATAATACAATTTTACTAGAAGACAACCATCAGAGAAGGCGGGAATCACATCTATAGATCTCAATGAAGTGAGAGGTTCTTCCATGCTCAACGAGCAAATAACCGAGACCGATGCCGTTATATATGCTGATATAAAAGATGACCATGCACGTTTTGAAAATCCTGAAACAACCACCTATGCTGAGATACACGATTACATGTCACCATGTACTCTCCCTGTACCAGCATATCCTGGACCATATGAAGCTACTGAAAAATACGAGGGGCMAGTATGTCAATCCGTTGATAACAAAGACACTGGAGAAGATGATGTTGATGATACACAGTATGAAAATGCTCCCAATAGTGCTACCCAGCAGCCAGTAGATGGTGGTTCTAAAATAGACCCAGATGAACAGCTAACCGTAACTAATGCTATCTATGCCACGGTGGACAAGTCCAAGAAACAAAAAATAGCGAATAAACAAGTGGAGTTCGACCCTGTGTACACACAGGTTGACAAAAGTGCAAAAACCAAGGTTAGTTTACGCCTGAGCATCACGTGGTGTAGGGGTACCTGCTTTACTCTCGTGTCAGGTTAGACATTGATTATTGGGTATTTTCCATCACGTCAATCTTTAGTGATGAACGCATGAGACATGCACAGATTAAGTAATGCTAGGTATTTTCCATCACTAATGACTTAAACCTCGACCTGACAGAGAGAAAGTTAGGGTAGCCACTTTAAGAGTTTTTGCTAAAAAATCGTTACTTTCATTTTATGGCTTGGATGGTTTAGATTGGTCTTACATTTCCTCACAAACTGTGTGATTGTACTGTCTACAAAACAATTGCTTGGGCTACATCTACCCGTACTTAGTTTGTCGGGCGTATAGTACCAATCGAGAATGGAAAGGTCTATAGGGCCTACCCTAATGACAGCTACAATAATGGTGTTTAGTTACACGTAGTATCTTCTATTCATTTCAGATCAACTTCTCCACCTAACTTCACTGCAGTATGCAATACCAACCAGCAATCTACTAATTTATGATCTACTTATTTGATATCGATTAAAAACCTGTTATGTCATTGATTTATATATAGTAAACATATAAAGTGATTCTTCTTAACGTTTCTGGTCATCTGTATACTGCTTTGATCCGCGTATTCGAAGTAACATGACTCTTTATAAAACATACAAAATGTGCAAAGATGAAGCTCTAACGGTCGCAGGGTTTCAGTTTTAAAATGTTTACGACTTGTTATTCAGAATATAATTTTTAGTTTTAGTGAATCTAAAATCTAGAGTAGAGAAGAGCACTGCACGATGGAAAGTGAAGGCCGAATTAAAACTTCAACACACGGTGACCCGGAAAATACGATGACTTTACGGATAACATCTTGTAGTGAGCTAATACGGTAAACCGCGTTATTGATATATCATAAAACTACATATTGCCAAAAAAAAAAAAAAAAAAGGAGTCGTAAAAGATACGCGATACTTTACTGAAATGAAACAACTTGGTATCATTACTGACGCATGCAGAATTATACAATATGGACAACATCTTGTTGTAGCTAATACTAAACCGCTTTACTGATACATCAAAAATATGAGAATATGTGGACCGCNAAAAAAAAAAAAAAAGGAATCGTAAAAGATACGCGATACTTTACTGAAATGAAACAACTTGGTTATGTTGCTGTTACTTTTGTTGTCGTAGTTGCTGCCGTTGTCATTGCCGTTGTTTTGTTGTTGTCGTTGTTTAGTGCTATGAGCGTTGTCACTGTCATTACGGTGTTGGTTAGCCTTGTTCTCACTAGCAACGCAAGCTGAAGTAAGCATAAGCACAAGCGCAAGCTAACGAAATCTTCCATCCTCTTGCGCTTGGACTTGTCTCTAGTGACAACCAGGCTTTATACTAAAACTAAAACAGTGTGAAACTCAATACCCTAATATTTCATCATGATCTCAAATACAATCATTCATAAAAGCCGGTCAGTGTGATAGAAATTTTACGGTGTCAGTTAAAAGGTATTTAGTGCAATTTATCAAGAGTAGGCATCATAAAGAAAGTAGTAGCAGGCTAGCCAAAAAAGCGTAGTAGAAAATCTCCACTACTCTTTCCTTTTCCTTTTCAGACCGTCCAATAATTTAAAATCTTTCAAGAGGAATCTTTCGTCTGTTGGTCCTTAACACTTTAGTTACTATAATATTTTTGGGGGGTAGATGATAATTTTTTTCATAATCTGTCTATATATTCTTAACGTTATTATCAATTTTTGATATATATTACCTATTAACTCGGTTTTCATGAAAACCAATTTGTACATTGATGAAATTTCCCGAGATTAAATAAAAATAACAGACATCTTTATGCATTCCATGCTTAATTTTGGTGATGTTATGACTGCATTGTTACGGAGTCCAGTTCATAAAGGTAGGCAAAAGTATCTAAATCATGCAAAAGACCATTTAAAAATTTTTCAATATACGTTTATGTTTTTTTGATTACAGACTCGTATATTCACAGGGTTAGCCTCATTTGGACGTCAGAATATTCAAAAATGACCAACGGTAAAGTAATGAATGCACAACTTCAACAATACACTTTGAAATTCTGCGGACCTTCAATGAAACACATAAATATTCTACACAAAATCGAGACTAACCCTTAGAAATAGAGAACTCGAAACTGGAGCGTTGATGGTACCCATTAACCTTTGCAAAATTAAGCTAATCCTGAGAAATAGAGAACCCATTAACCTTTGCAAATAATTTCCTATCCTTTGCATTGTAGAAAATGGCTATATGGATAAAGCTGGTTCTTGTGGTAAGTAGAGCAAAGAAGTTGCTAGAGTACCTATCATTGAATGAAATGATTATAATATACATTGGTTATCAATAACCACAATATATACATTGGATCGAAAGTGGTTTCAGCTTAAGTAACAAAACTTTATTATCGTGTTTTCCATATATGTCTCTATTTATGCATGAAGACGGTGCTCTTTCATAATTTGGAAGTAAAAAGAAAATAGCTAAGTTTTGCGCTGTCGTCGCCTATTGATATTAATGTGCCAACCAGAGAGCTATTGGCTACAGAAACAAAGAGATCTTTAATTAGTTTTAATGGTTGGCAAATTTGATTGAGAATTAGATCTCTGACGTTAGTGTTTGTAAACAGCGGTGAATATCGCTATGAGCGAGAGCAACTTTTGTAACTTAGCGCGAGACACCATGTAGATTTGCAAAGCATCTAATAATTTATTTCCACATAAAAAGTGATAGATAGACAGAGAAGAAAAATATACCGTCGAGAAATTCCCTGGGTAGTGATTGGCTATGGAGACCACTGTTATCCTTACAATATCAATAACATTTTTGTGCTTAAGGAAGCCTCCAAATCAATATTCAATCACTGTTTAAGGCGGAAGGATATGTCTCGTGTATTTTTAATGATGTTTATCCTATTCTATTGCATTCTTTCGGTGGTATTATGAAGGCCTAGGGTTTTATCGAGAAACATAACTAGCTTCGTCTACTCAGGGTTTTAAATGATCTCAGTAGTTGGCATGTAGGTCCCTCTTTTTTCTTTGTCCCTCTTTGTGTAAGCTTTGATTAATACATCGCAAACTGAAGCCATGATTGCTGCCAATTCTAATTTTCTAGCGTGATGAACTTCATGATTCGTCCCTCTTTTCTCGGACAACTACTATGAAAAAATGGCCAAGCGGAAGTACAACTGCTGCCGGTTTAGTAACCTGTAGTGTTGTGATTCCTCCTTCAGTTGAAATATGACAATTATAATAGATATAATAATAAAAACCTTGTTTTTCACCGATTGCTTTTCAAAGCTTAATCGAAAATAGAAAACATAAAAATCGAGAACGAAAGGTTTGTTTCGAAGAAAAATCCCATAATCCATTCTCACTCATTAGCAGATTGCTTCAACAAGAAAAGAAAAGAAGAACCTGTCTTATTGTTTCCTTGTTGTGTTCTTCCCATCCAAGTTCAGGAGATATGGCAGTTGAGTTACTAAAACTGTCTTTCCAGATTTTGATGTTTTTTAGGATATTATGGCTTACCTCTTGTACGACAGGTAAGTAAATACTTCAAATTGTCAACGCTATCTGTCAATTATTATGTTCATTGCGCACGTTGTGTTAGAAATCAATATGATTTCAAATTCGGCATGGGCTTACTAACATAGATGTTTCACATCAAAAAGGTACATTCGATACCCTATTTAATATATCGACAT